AAAAAAAAAAATAATAATAGTAGTAATACGAAGAATAAACTCACCATGACTGAGAATGGATTTTATTGGTCCCTGTTCGTTCATTCCCTCGAAAGAGACATTTTGCTTTCTGGAACTCAACTTGCTTCTCGCTGCACGAACAATTAACCCACTCTGTTCATTGGATTTTTTCAATTCGATCGTGAAATCGCTAACCACATCAGCTGCAAATCATATCATTTTCTAATTTATCGAAGCGAAGAAAAACTATTTTAAAAACATTATAAAATAAATATCAAGTATTATAAAAAGTATAATTTATAGAAAAATAGACGCGTATATAATTGATATGAGAATTTTCATCCGTGTGTGTTTCATTAATCTTAATCTTCTATCTTTGTCATTATTACTATTATTATTGTTACAACTACAAATCTTCTACCACGAAACTTGTTTTCTACGACAGATTTTCTATTATAATTAAGTATTTCTACTCGGAGAAAGTATCAATCAAGAAGCAACATTTTTTCCTTCCAACCAATAAACTTGATTCAAAGAATGCACTCACTGAAGTTGCCATTGAGCTTGCCGTTCCCTCTCACCAGTTCCTTGCCAACCTTACCCATCAGATAATAATCAGATTTCACGCGAAGCAGAGGAATTCTGATTTTCATGATTACGTGCATCACGTCGTCCTTGAAAATCAACGAAGAAAAAATTCAAACAGAACCGTGTGTAATTGAAGGAAGGAAAATTAAGGAAAAATGAAAGGAAAGGTGTGATTACATCGACATGGAAGTTTATAAGGCACTTTTGAAAAGGAATTATTGAAAGTGAAAAATTATTCAAGTATGATAAAGAGATTAGAGAATAAAAAAAAAAAGTGATAAGATTACACAGTTTGTAACTAATTGAAATTTTACAGTAATTAAATATTTATTAGAATTTTAAATTTTATTCAATCATTTAATTCTCAATTACTTAATCAATCGAAGGAAATAACATTGAAAAAATGAATGAAATTTTAAGAATTAAGAAAAAGAAATTGAAATATAATTACTTTGTAGAGTTATTTAAATAAAAAGTGAACCATCCGTTTAATCTTCTACTTGAATATAAAGCTAAAAAAAAAACAGTAATTAAACGAGTAACTAAAACCTAACTAAAAGTGTAACCGAAACATTAACAATAACAGGAAGTTGTGTAAGACGTACATCAGTATCGTTTCCTTTGTGAGCACGCTTCTGTCTAGTTCGTTGAGGGAACTTCTCCCCTTCAGGCTTCGTTCCATTCATCCCGCCATAGTGATAAACCAACTGCATCCCTTCCTCGAAATATCCTTGATTCTCTTGATAATTCTTCGCGTATCTAGACAAACCATCCAATCTCTTTGCCTCTATGGCCGCCTTAACTGCATCGTTCCTCTTCGACAAGGATTCTCCGTCAGTACAATTACGACTAATAACTCGTCTGCTCTCGAGGATATCCTATTTACATAAGTTCAACTACATTAACCGCATTAATATCTATAATAACCGATAGCTATTTGCGATAGTAAATAGCGTTTACAACTAGTGAAATTTCTGGTACGAGCACCTGTTCATTTCCCGATGATTAAAATGCTAATTCTCTTTTATTACTGTTTAATTCTTTTTTATACTGTTTTTCCTTTTTTTTTTTGATCTCTTTAAAGTTTACGATTTCTTGTGGAATTTCAAGGTCTCTCAGTGAATTTTTCAATACTGTTTTATTACTCTTTAATTCTCTTTTATACTGTTTTTCCTTTTTTTGATCTCTTTAAAGTTTATGATTTCTTGTGGAATTTCAAGGTCTCTCAATGAATTT